ATGCTATCTTAGCCCAAAATAAACTTATAACGCAACAAATTGAAGCATTGAACCAGAAGATAGAGAAATTACCTCAACAAATGCACACAGTACAATATATTCTTAATCAACAGATGAGTTGTGATGTGTGTGGAGGTGATCATGCAAATGAATAATGTTCTTATCAAGGCAACATTCAGCAAAAAGAAGCTAATTATATGGGGGTCCAAGGTAGTAGTCAAGGCAGTACAAGACAATTTTCCTAATCCCAATAATTATCAGAATAATTTTGCACAAGGATGGAGAGGGAATCAAAATCAGAATCAAAATCAGAATCAGAATTTTGGGTGGAACCAAGGTGTTAGCTCATCTACTAGACAACCTCGCATTTCAACAACAGTCATATCAGCAACCTCCATATCAACAACAAGAACAACATTATCCTTCAAGGCTCGATGTAATAAGTAAATTGGAGGATACTTTAGAAAAATTCATGCAAGGCACTATGACTAATCAGAAAAATACTGAGGCTTCATTCAGAAATATAGAGATCCAAATAGGCCAACTAGCTAAGCAATTATCTGAGCAACAACAAGGAGGACAATTTTCAGTTAATACACAAACCAACCCCAGGGAGCAATGCAATTCAATAACTACAAGGAGTGGTAAGGTTATAGGAGAAGGTATTGGTGACAATATGACTGTAGAGAAGGAAATCCTACAAGAAAAAGAAGATGAGTGTGAAGGAGAAAAAGAGGAAAATAAAAGAGAGAATATAGAAAAAGAAAAAAATACTGAAAAAGAAAAGAAAAATAAAAAGAGTGAGAAAAAGAGGGAGAAAGATGAGAGCCAAATACCGCAATTGAAGGATTTACCATATCCTCGTCATCCTTCCCAGATAGATAAAGAAAGACAATTCACAAGATTCATGGATATTTTCAAACATTTACAGATTAATATTCCATTTATGGAAGCTATGGAGCAGATGCCGACTTATGCAAAATTCATGAAAGAGTTGTTAACTAAGAAAAGGAGATTTACGACAGAAACAGTGGAGCTAGAAGCAGGACGCAGCGCTATAATTCAGAAATCATTACCTCAAAAGTCCAAGGATCCTGGCAGTTTCACTATACTAATTACAATTAGGACGTTACAAGTAGGTAAGTCATTACTTGATTTGGGTGCTAGTATAAATCTAATGTCTTTGTCTATGCTTAAAAGAATAGGAGACTTGGAAGTAAAGTCTACAAGAATGACATTACAGCTAGCTGACAGATCTGTAAAGATTCCTTATGGAGTAGCAGAAGATGTTTTAGTTAAAGTGGATAACTTCATATTTCTTGTTGATTTTGTGATTATGGACATGGAGGAAAATGAGGAACTTGTTCAAAACCTTTCATTACATCTACGAGCTTTATTTCATGTGCCTCCAATGAACTTTGAAGCTCCTTTATCTTCATCTTTGACAAATCTTTCAATTCTTCTATTGCTACCACTATGTAATTGAACTTTGGTGATAATGATCTCGTTACTTTCTCAACAATCATTAGCTCAGTAAGAGACTCACCATAACTCTTCATTTGATTTGTAATGGTGAGTATTTTGGTGAAATACTCACTTATTCTTTCACTGTCCTCCATCTACAATAACTCATATTGCTTTCGGAGACTTTGAAGCTTGACTTTCTTGATTTTTTAACCACCTATATGGCTCCATATCAGAATATCCCAAGCTTCTTTGGTTGTTCCAGCATTTTGAATCTTTTCAAAATGAGTATCATCCACTCACTGATGAAGAAGAAATAACGCTTTGTTATCTTTCTTCCTTGTTGTTGCCTTTTGTGCTTTTGTCGAGCCCGTTCCAACATCACACCCATTTTCAATCACATCGTTGACTTCTTGGTAACGAAACAACACCTTCATTTGGGTGCTCCACTTATCCTAGTTCTTCTCAGTGAGGATGGGTAGGTTCATCGACGAGACATGATCTCCTCCTGCCATGATTTCTTAGATTCAAGAAATATAATTTTCGCAGTATCTTATATCTCTACTTCTGAAACTCAGCAAATATCACACACAGTTGCTGCAAGAAGCTTCTACTTGCTTCTTTCTTTCTTTGCTTCAATCACTCCTTCCTTCCATGCACAGTGAAGATCACTCTTGTATGTATACTGTTACATACAATTTCTTGGACGTGATTCTTGAAACAACCAACCCTCAACTTAGGTCCCTTCTGAACCTGATGCTCTGGATACCACTTGTTAGAGAATAGAGAAATAGAAAAGAGATACTGCTTCAAAAATGCCTCCTTCTTATTATATTTCATGAGCACGTATGAAATATATATACATGCAGATGGGTACAACAGTAAAACAGAAGTCTTGACTTATTAACCAACAAAACAGTCCAAGGATAAGCTAAAATTCTTAGTAGAAAGATTAAGAGTTATTAAAGGATTTGATTATTATGGATTTGATGCTACTAATTTGTGTTTGGTTCTAGATGGTTCCACCCAAATTCAAAATTTACGAGTTTGATAAGTATAAGGAAAACACTTATCTAAAAGTCATCTTATATTTTATTGTAGAAAAATGGCTTTATGTGCATATGATGATAAATTCTTTATCTATTTCTTTTAGGGGAGCCTTATAAGAGTCACCCTAAATTGGTACATGAATTTAGATAAAAAACAAATAGATACATGGAAAGACTTGGCAAAAGCTTTTCTGAAGCGGTACACATATAATATGGATATTATCATTTATAAGACTCAATTACAAAATAAGGTGAAGAAAGATGGGGAAATATTTAAAGAGTATGTACAATGCTGAAGATGGGTGTTTGTTCAAGTACAACCTTCTTTGTGTGAAATGGAAATGAGCACATTGTTCATTGATACGCTCTAATCAACCTTTTATGAAAAGATGATTGAAAACATATCATTAAGTTTCTTTGACTTAGTCTTCATCGGATTTTTTAATTTTTTCTGAGGAAATTAGTAATTTCCCTTTTATTTCGGACTCTATTTATTTTTCATTTATTCCACAAGGGGCCATGATGACCTTTAATGGAATTGGGATAAAGGGTTGAAATGGGAGTAAGGAGTGAAAAAATTAATCACATGATAGTTAGATCAACAAGTATGAAGAAACCCTTAACTATTACTAATAAGAAAAAAGGAAGTGGAACCAATGTCATCATGCACAATTACAATATCATTCTTTCATGCTTAATTGTTGATCATAATTCATGTACAACCCACAAATAACAATAATTTCTTAATCAGCCTATTAGCAACCCTTCCAACCTATGATGATTTATCAATTACCTCTACCACGAGTTTCACCACCTTCAATCCCTGAAACAAGTCTAAGTTCCCCCATCATACATCCAAAGAACGGAAATAATCAGCAAAACACTGCTTCCATCCTTATGTCTTACACCACACTTCTCCAACATTTGGTTAACAATTTCTTAGTTGTTCATTTCCTTTGAAACACGTTGATCACGATATCCCAAAAGTTACGATTTAAATGCAAAATATGATTACCAAAGACATGTTAGAATTTGAAATATAAATACAAGACTTGATAAACAAAGGTTATTGAGCTTTAAATAGGAAAGTTTAAATGTTGTTCACTTTCAGGTCATGGAAGTGTAATGTTAAATTTCATTGATCAAATACTTGATCAACTTATTGTTGGAAGAAATCAGAACCCCATAAACATAATCTTTTAGAATTATGCAAGTTGGAGTTGATGTAAAGTCAAACTTTTATTAAAAAAATTTAAAAATTTGTTTGTCAACTGTTTTCTTAAAACAAAATTCAAAATTATTTTTTTAGATTAAAAATTAAAAAAGATAACGATTAAAAATATTTTCGAATTTTTAACTTTTTGTTTCCATTATTTTTTTTTCATTTGTTGCATTATATCATTTATGCTTATCGTGTGACTATGTTATAGACATTATTTTCATTGTCACTTTTTATTATTTTTAATCATTTTCGTATAAAATAATTTCAAGTTAGACTTCTTAAATAAGTCTTTTTTATCCAACCTATTTGTAGAAATAATTTTTTAAATTGATTTCTAAAACTATTTAAAAAAATCAAACCAGTCTTGACTACTTTCTTTTCGTTATTATAATATTTTAGAATAATAACTGAATAAAATTATTATATATTTTTTTCGTTATTATAATACTATTCGCCAGTTTTTGTTAAATTGAAAAAATTAAATTTGTCAATCTCTTATAAAAATATGTGATTATGATTTAGATTTAGATTCAGATGTAGAAGGTAAAAGTTGTATGATAGAGAAGAAATGAACAGGTGTAGAAATAAAATAAAAAATTAAAAAAGAGAAATTAAATTAGTTAACTAATAAGTAATAAATAATTAATGTACTTTCATGTTTATATAATACGCTAACTGTAAACAATGATAAAAAATATGATTCATAGGAAAAAAAATTATCGCTTAAAACACACACTTAAGAAAGATTGATACAAGAAATTTCAAGAAATTTTGGAATATAAATATCATTAAAACATATTTTTTAACACATTTTTTACTACTAACTTGAATTTATTAAAAATTGTGAATTTTAAATGTATTGTTTCTTATTTGATATTTTCTCCCTTAATTAATAATTTTTTCAACCAATTCTAACTAATAAAAAAGTACAAATTAAAAAAAATGTTATTACTAAAAGAGTAACCCTTTTGAAAAAACTGGCCAAGAAGGTGGACTAAACACCCATTTTTGAACCAACAACAAACAGGCCTAGAATTTGAACCCAAATTGGCTTTGTACAAACTTGTAACAGTCTCAAAACATGGTCTCATCTTATCTCTTTAATTATTACAAGCTAATACAATGTTTTGTCTAGTAGTTGACTGGGTCCCCCTGCCTCAGATGACACCAAGTTTATAACACCTTCACCAGAAAAAAGAGTCTCATGTCTCATTGTTTTGTTCTTTCTGTGTTCATTGGAGTTTCTGTGTGAGAGTAGTGTGGCCATGGGAAGAGCTCCTTGTTGTGACAAAGCCAATGTCAAGAGAGGACCATGGTCCCCAGAAGAAGATGCAACACTCAAAGACTATGTGGAGTCTCATGGCACTGGTGGAAATTGGATTGCATTGCCCAAAAAAGCTGGTTTGTCTCTCTTCTTTCCCATTACCATATGCACATCTTCTAACACTTTCTTGGCCACCCATTTGGTCATTTATATATATCAACATTTGTTGATCCTTGCTTTTTCTCTCGAATTGAAGATCAAAAGAAAATTTTCTTAAAATGAAGGACTTTTCTGGGACACCCATCTCAAGCAAACATGATTATCTATTTACTTTGTTTTGTTCAACATGTATGTTTTTCTACATTTGTTTTGTTAAATACACACACTGATAAATGCATTTTACTTTATTTCAGTTATAATTTTCATTTGCTATCTACTTTAAATTAATTTGGATACTCTTCATCATCAAAAGTTAACAACTAATTTTCTTTTGAAGTATTGAATTCCATTTAAAATACTACTAACATTTTTTAAAATATGTTCTTTTGTAAACTACATGTTTAAAGACCATAATTGTTTAGAAACAACATCTCACTGTATTTATGATACATTAATTTGAGTTACAAACATTGATAAATGCAGCTGTTTTCTCAATCTATTTCAGTTTCCACAATTTGTTCAATTTCCGAGTCCACTACTAGACACAGTTTTTACGCATACGCATGCTTTCTATTGAATCCTTTTGGTCAAAATCATAACTAGCTTCTGCAGCTTACAAGGCATAAAACCAGGAATGGGAGTTTCCCCTGTTCTGACGTTAACGCAAAATATGTTTTTTTTTATTCTCTAAAACTACTTAATTATTTATCCATTTTACAACGAAAGTGTCTCAAATTTCAGATCCATTATGATAAAACATCACGATAAATCATAGTGATGATTTTATTTTTAACCTTCCATCCAAAATAAATTATATTTCAAACGATAATTAATCTCAATAATAATATTATAATAAACATGAACTCGATTAAGAGATTCTATTTTCAATTAAATTTATCAAATTAATAACAATCGTTGCATTATTATAAAAGTTTAAAATAGAACTGGATGATAAAAAAAGTTGAACAAGCTTTATATATATATATATATATATATATATATATATATATATATATATATATATATATATATATAAAGATTCTAATATTAAAATAAAAAAATTATTTTTCCATCTATATTTATATTTTTTATAACTTAATAAATTAAAATATTAATTCATTTTAATTAGATAAAATAATAATAATAATAATAATAATATAATTAAATAATTTGACTCTTAAATAAATATTTTTTTTATTTTTTAAGAATATATTGTCATGGTATATATATATATATATATATATATATATATATATATATTATTATTATTATTATTATTATTATTATTATTATCATGCAGGCCTTAGACGGTGTGGGAAGAGTTGCCGTCTACGGTGGCTCAATTATCTGAGGCCAGACATCAAACATGGAGGCTTTACTGAGGAAGAGGACAACATCATTTGCAACCTCTATGGCCAGTTGGGTAGCAGGCAAGTTTTTTTTTTTTTTCAATTTAACACTATTAATATTCACCATCCATCATACTTTTATCAAATACATCCAAAAATATTTAATTGTAGTTTAACCAAACGTTATAGTTATGTTTTCATTCAGAAGACTGTGTATTTATGTGAAATTGTTAAAATTAAAATTATTATCAACGGTGTTGAAAAAATCCATTTAGAAAAAGTTATTAACTTGGGACCACATCATGCGGTAGCGACCAATTTTTATATAATGTTATTATTTTTTTTTATTAGAGAGTGAAAAGTTCAAATGATGTTGTAGATTTAAGCTTTATAATTATAACTGTACTAAAAAAAGCTTCATCAGTATAATTATAAACCGTGTGTTATGATTATGCGTTGGAAAAAATTATTATATATCTTGGCATCATATCACACTGTTTCAATTAATTTTTATATAACACACACGTTATTTTCTTTTATTAGTGATAAAAAGTTTGAAAAGTAAATATTATAATCATATATTATTAAAAAACTTATTTTAGAACAAATAATTATATGATCTGGAACACATCACGCTGTTTCCGCTAAATTTTATATATTATCATTTCATTTGTTTTATCTAGTGATGAAAAGTTTCGAATAATATTTTAAATATAAATTTTACAATTATAAATAGTATGTCAAATTTATATATTGGAAAAACTTATTTTAGAATAAATTCTTGTATGGTCAGGGCCACACGGTTTCAATCAATTTTTATATAATACATCTATTTTATAGAGTTAAAAAATTGAATACTTTTATTTAAGTTTTAGTATTATCATTGCATGTTCCTAATTTTCCTAATTAAATATGAGAAACCAAAATCATATTATATATATATATATATATATATATATATATAACTTTGTTAAAATTGAAACGTGATTTGAAATATTATATTGATTAAAAATAGTGGAGTTGAATTTATAAAAGAAAAAAAAATCATAAATCTATTATAGGTTGAAGGTAGTTTTATGTTTTTTTATATGTTTATCTTAAACCGTTTAATCCTTAAAAAATGCTAACAAAGTTGTGTTCTTGCTTGTATAGATGGTCTGCCATAGCCTCTAAACTTCCTGGCAGAACCGACAACGATGTGAAAAACTACTGGAACACAAAACTGAAGAAGAAGATAATGGCAGGAAAAGTTAGCCTCAAAACATTGGCTGACAATGACACTCTTCCTTCAACTTCAACCCCATTACTAACCAACCAGAGTCTCAGTACTCAAAATTCACCTTTCATTGCTTCACCAAATCAAACTTCCCTGCCCTTGGTGCTGCCAACCTTAGCTGCTAACAATGACGCAGGCACCATTAATAAAAAAAGCATCATTAGTTTTGACCAAACAAATCATCATGGATTGTATAGTCCACAAGTCATGCATGGTGTCTCACAAATTGGTGCAAGTTCAAGGATCAACTACAGCACCAATGATAATGATAACAGTAATCACATGGTGTCATTGTCTCAAGAAGGTTCAAGCAGCATTTCGGATTCATCTTCAATTGCAATGAGCTACAACAAATGTGTTGTGTCACAGCCTCAGCAACAACAACAACATGCTAGTGATGAATCTATGGACATGTTGATGGAATTTGGCTTTGGATTTCCCTATGATTTGGTCAATGGTCCTAACTGCCATTATGAGAGAGTTGGTGAAATATTTGCTCCAGAGTGGGTTGATTTTAGCTATGCTGACATTAAGCCTTATTGACCAAATCAATGTGGTAGCTAACTAGTTATTTTATTCATACAATGTATAACCAAGGGAGTATCATATGGGATATTTGTATCAGAAAAAAAAATGCAAAAAATCATGTGAAGTGAAAGGAAGACTTAGGTGACATTTAGTTTTCTAGTTTGTTGATGATCAACTATGATTATGATGTATTAATTTGTAGTTCACAGATAGGAACTACATAGCTTAAATTAGGTCAAAGTTTGAATTAAGCGAATAAAAATGTTGAAGATTATTGATGAGATGCTCGTGTTATTTGTTATTAATTATTCATGCATGGTATGTGGACATTGCTGTGGTTGTGGGGCCCAGAAACATGGTTATTTATTTGGTTTTTGTTTGATATAAGGATTTATTTATGTACTGTTTTGATGACACAAGCATGTTGGTCACGCAATTTGCATGGAGGGGTGGCCAGTTCAAACCTTAGAATTGAATACTGTGTGTCTTTCTTCTTGCGTTATTTATTAACCATAAAAGATTCTCTGTCTTTTTCTCTCTCTGCTCGCACCTCTCGTGATGCACTTTCAACCGTCATAAATGAACATTCTCAACTCTGAAATATTAATTTGGAAAAAGTTGAATGTACTTGACAATTTTCATATGCTCAGGAAGGATAAAGGATGTGAGAGAAAGAAAGATTAATAGGTGTGATGCAATGAATATTTCATCTTGAAAAAGAATCAAATAAAAATTGAATATGGATTAATTTAAAAATTATATTAGTTTATTTGCAATAATATTTTCTCATACAGTACTTTTGATATCTACACCATTTCATGTGATGATATATAAAAATTATATTACTTTTTGATAAATAAAAATAATTATAAAAATTGGAGAGAAAATATATGAAAATGAGATTTGAAGGAGAACATTTATAATATGAAAAGTGAAAAAAAAAACTGTGTGATATATATGAGTAAGAAAAAAGTTGTGATAAAAGTAAGAAAACAAATAAAATAAAATTTTAATTATTGTATTATAAAACAAAAAAAAGTAACTATTTTAAAAATTAATAATAAAAAAATGAATATATATTTTTATTTTCACTTTTATTGATAGAAGAGTCTTAGTTGGATATTAAAAGTATTTTGAACGGAAATTACTTATTAAGATGTTCAATAAATAATTGTTTCTCTAACAAATAATTGTATACTATATAAGTTGTTTAAATTTATTTATAATTATTTTATTAAATAATTTATAAAATCAATGAGTTTTTTTAATTTTGTAAGAAAATTTTAAACGAAATAAAATTAATAATAAATTACTTCAAAATAATATAACATCGAAAATTCATATATTTTATTTTTTAAAATAAAAAATAATTCATTTATTATTTCTATATATTATAGATGTCTAATACTTTATTTAGATAAAAGCATGAAAATAAGAAAAAAATGTATCAAAATCGATGAAATTTATTTAAATTAAAAATGATACAGATAATAAAAAAATAGATAAATTTATTTATTCTTGGTAATTTTATTCATTATTTGAATATTATCTTTTAATGTTAATAATCTTATTTTTAAGTATAATTAAATGTTCTGAGTTTCAGTATATTCCTTTTTATTATTACGTAAAAGGTGTGATTTTTTTATTTATTTAGTAAGCACGCTTACTAGAAAAATAAACACAAGAAACAAAAATAATATATATATATATATATATATATATATATATATATATATATATATATATATATAATGTAAAGAAGAATGTTAAACTTAATTATTATACACTATATTAATTATTTAAAATGTGATTTATCAATTCATTATATTCAATTAGATAATATTATCGTGAATTCTATTTATTCAAAAAATTAACGAAATATCAATTAACTTTTGTTGTCTATTTATAAGAATATTTTGTTTTGACTAAAATTTCAATAAATTTGATATTGTTAGTCCGAGTCATATATACATGAATCATGTATATTTATTTTATTGTATTTTTATTTTAATTAATTGAAATATAATGTATATATTACTTTTAAAGTATAAATATTGTTATATGTAAAAAAATTATTCGATATAAAAAAATCATTAGATATGAGAGAAGTAGAGGAGAATGTAATATGAAAAATAAAATAAAGGAGATAAAATATAATTTTAATTGTTTTTATTTATTTCAAAGAATGAAAAATAAGTAGACAAGATAATATTTTTTAATTAATTTTATTTATTTTAAAGAAAAATTTCAGAAAAAAAAAACTGAAGAAGTGGAAAAGAGAAAATAGAGAATTATATTTTATTAATCAAAACTGAATAAAATTTTCTTTATATATTATAATATAGTTAATGTAGATTAGTCCGAATCTAATACGACTTTAAAATCTTGGTAAGAAAAAAAAAAGAATATATAATATATATATATATATATATATATATATATATATATATATATATATATTTCAATTTCTTGCCTTTTGAAATAATTGCATAGATAATTATTATAACTCATGTAGCTTGCAAATAACAGGTCAAAATGTCGGATAAATTGTCTCACACCCAAGTTTTCTGAGTGGAGACCAGAGTTTTTTTGACATTGATGACTACTTTAATCACTATAAAGTTCAGGAATCTTATCCTTAAAAATAGAATAAGACTACTAATGTCATTGTTCATGTGCCAACCATAGGTAGCCAAAGTTTACTTGACTACTTGGTCATTGCTTTTAATATTGCATTCCATATTTTGCAGAAACATCAATTAAACGTTTTTCATATAATGACTATATCAATACTTATGTTTAATACAATTAAAAAAATTATTTAATTTTATATATTATTAATTATTATATTAAGATTTTAATTATCATCATTATATATATATATATATATATATATATATATATATGTGTGTTTATGTATGTATCATTTATTACATACTACATAAAATTTATTGAGAAAACTTTACATGACTCTCATATTATATATTTATTATTAATTATGATTTTTCATAAATCAATTTTTTTGTGTAATTAATTTACACATCAATTATGAATATAATATAAAATTAATTATTTTTTTAAAGATGATAACTAAAAACTTAATACAATAATTTATATTATATAAAAATAAAAAAAAATATTTTAATAATATTAAACACAAATATTTATTATAATTAATGTATGTAAAATGTATTTTTTAAATAATATTATTTATATGTTTAAATAAAAAATCTTGTCTGAAAAACATTTAACTTTTAACACTTATTTTAATGTTTGTATTCTAAATAGTGATGACAAAATTCATTCTTATAGATAAAATTGACTTTAAGATATCAAATATTATTGATAAATAAAAATATATATATGAAAAAGTAAAAAAATTTACCCTCAAAAAATTTCATCACTAATAAAAGATATAATATTTTAATTACTTGCGTGTTAATGGAATCATATACAATCGTTACCAATTAATAATTTTTATTTAATATTTTAAAAATAAAATTATTATTAAAAACATTAAATATTTATAATTTTTTATATAAATTTATAAAATTAAAGTTGTTTTTATTTTAAATTAATATTATTTAAATTTATACTTTGTATTATAACTTATTTAACTTTAGTTTTATTTATATTGATATTTTATAATTTAATTTAATTTAAATTATATTTTATAATAATAAATTATTAAATTTAAAAAATATTTTTTAAATAATTTTATTTAAAATAAATTAAAATAAAAAATATTCACAAATATCTTTAAATACCCAAATACCTACAAATATAAAAATATCTGTAATTTTTTTCTAAAACATATATCCAATAGACAATGAAAAAAAAACCATGCTGTTAAAAAGAATTTTGTTTAGAAATAAAAATAAATATTTTATTATGAATTTTATATTTAAATTATTTAAAATTAAAACAATTATTTATATAAACAACTTTTATCAATTTTTAACCAATTCATCTATAAAATTCATAATAATTTTTTTAAGCAACTTTTATTAATATATATATATATATATATATATATATATATCCTCCTATTATTTCAAAACTAGAAAAAGCAAAAGCTATAATTTAAAAAATTGACTTGTTTAAATTCCAACGGGCAGAACTATTTTCATAACTAAAAGGGATTTTTTTTTCTTCAAATACTCTATTCCTTACTCTCTCTTTTATAATTTCAGAGTTTTAATTTTGGAAGAGAAGTTAATATATTTTGGAACTAAATGTTAGAAGATGGTTTATTCTTTTAACTAATTTCAGGAATAATATGAAATTCATTTTTTCCAAATTTCAATTTGAAACTGTATTGAACTCTCCTCTGAAATTAAAATTTCAAATGATTTAAAACTACTTCTAAAAGTTCAAGAAAGCAATGCAAAAGAGTAATTCCCATACAAAATTAGAATGCCTGAAAAGCTGGGCAAAACAACTTGTTTGTTCTCATGTTTGCACATATCAATTTGAACACATGTTTGTATGATGTGCTACATCTGCTTCCTCGTGGCATTACATATGAGGATGAATATTCCTTGACAAATAGCTTTAATATAAAAAAGACAAACATTATGATAAAAACGAAAGGCCAACACACACGATATTCTTTTTCTGAACAGGATTCACTTTTACATTTGGACTTGTATGAAACATACTTGCATTTTCTTATTAAAAAGGAAACTCCGCCTTTGAAATTGTTCTCCATTTTGTATACTCTCATCATCCACAAGTTTCACGACCCCCTCCCCCCCCCCTAGAATGAAAATTGCTTTGGACGAAGGGTACTTGTTTCCTCCTTTAGATTTCGTTTACATTAAAAATATAAAATAGAAAGAAAAAATATTTTATAAAAATACTTTTATAAAAAAAATATTACTTTCTACTATAGTGCATGTATTTACTTTCCTCTCATACGAGTGAAAAAATAATTTATAAAATTATTTTTAATTGAATAAATAATTATATATTTTATGTTTATAATTTCAATATATATATATATATAATTATTA